GAGGGTGGAGGGGGGGGGGGGGGGGCGGTGTGTGAGACACTATCAAGTGGAGAGAATAACACCAAATGGAGAAATAATCTCCCTCCAGAACCCTCCGGACCTGCTGCAGGTGGATAAGCAGGCGTCTCCCATATGGCAAAGCAGCCTTCACTCCCCCAAAGAGATCATAACCCGCACGAAGAGACAGGGCCAAGGAACTCCCTGGGACCCGGGAAATGACGTGTGCAGCAGCTTTGAGTAGCAGTATGTCCTCTGTCCGGACACCTGCTTTTACCTAAAGACCTATGGAAAAAATGGGCTGCTCTGTTGGCTTGGAGAAGAAATGACTGGCTTAGAAGCAAAAACCATAGTTGGTTAGAGGTCCTCCAGGCCAAGCCTCTCCTGAGTTGAGGCCCAGAGATAACTGAATGTGTGTGTGTGGCCGGCGCAGCCCTGGGATCTATGTGCCCTGGCTGCTGGCCCAGCTCTTTACACCACCCACCTGGACATGACCAGGAAAGAAGCCTGCCAGTGGGGGATCTCACCAGGCCTGGGCAGTACCTTGAAACCCATGGGCCAGTGTATGAGGTAGAGGTCCAAGTACTCCAACTTCAAGGCCTTCAGAGTGTTGGAGCAGGCTGGTCTCACCAAGGACTTCTTATGGCTGGTGCACCAGAGCTACAAGGGAGAGGAGAAGCGTGACAATTGGCCACAGAGCCAGCGTTGACACATCTGCCCCTGGGTCCCACAAATCCAGGATCTGGAAGACAAACAACATCCAAGACCCAGTGGCCATAAATACAGCGGCCATGACATTATTCTTCAATGGTCCAGGACGTCCACAGGGAGGGGGTTTGCAAAGCTCAGTTCCTCCTGCCTGATTTCTCCTTAGGGGAAGTGGGGGGAAGGGGAAACACTGTGAAATTATTTGATGAAAGAGCTGTCTGGTTATTTGGATCCACTGAGACCAAAAAGATAAAATAAAATAAAAAATACCCACAGGCAGAAAAGATATGAGGAAAAATCAGAAGAATTTGTGTATTCAGTTTCCCCCTTGAACAGACTCTATGTTAAAGGTTCTCTGTTATAAAGACCTCAATCCTGCAGATTAAACTAGGTAAGTAAGTTAACACAGACTGCCTTATACTTAGTACTTCACACCCTCTGTGAAGTAAAAAGTTTGTAATTTTTTCCCCCTCATTGTTTCCTTTACTATATTATTTTGGCACCATCGCAGCAAGAGCAAAACAAAACAAAAAATAAATAAATAAAAGAGGATAAAAATATATAAACCCAAATTACAAGTACAGTATGTTTACAAAAAAGAAACTAGAATACATCATATTGTTAAAAACAGCACTTTCTATATGGTGAGTATATCAGTGATTTTTTAAAAAATTGTATTTCCAAGACTTTTCTAAATTTCAGGAATAATGAGCACACATCCTCTGCTGGCTATGGTCCAGCTGGGAGCACCCGTCCCCTCTGCTGGCTATGACCCAGCTGGGAGCAACCATTCCCTCTGCTGGCTATGATCCAGCTGGGAGCACCCGTCCTCTCTGCTGGCTATGACCCAGCTGGGAGCACCCGTCCTCTCTGCTGGCTATGACCCAGCTGGGAGCACCCGTCCCCTCTGCTGGCTAGCCACAGGAACCCCAGGTGCCCACCTCCCTAACTGGAGGATCAGGAGAGATTTGGGTTCCTGGGCCAAGGTCCCCTGAGCCTCTCCTTTTACAGCACTGATGAGTTAGAGCATTGTATCCAGGTAACACAGACAAGCAAATCTACTTTAGGAACAGCACTGAAGCTTGCAATTACGAAAATGTATTTATTTTTTAAATTTACTTTATTGATTTTTTACAGAGAGGAAGGGAGAGGGATAGAGAGTTAGAAATATCGATCAGCTGCCTCCTGCACACCCCCTACTGGGGATGTGCCCCAAACCAAGGTACATGCCCTTGACTGGAATCGAACCTGGGACCCTTCAGTCCACAGGCTGATGCTCTATCCACTGAGCCAAACCGGTTATGGCACAATTACGGAAATTTAGAGGCGGCAATCACTCGGGAGATTGTGAAACCCACTGTCTGCTCTTCCACGATGGAGCCGGGTTCCTGAGCCAGTCTCAGGAAGGACAGCTGCCATGTGAACTCTCTGCTCCTGGCCTAATGGCCTTAATATTCTTCTTCAAAGTCAAAAGCTAAGGAATTCTTTAATTCTCCACTCTCTTGGTCTGCCGCCAGCATTTCTTACAGGGCCCACCTCCTGACTGTCCTTCCCAGCCATTTCCTTGCCATCTGTCTAGTGCTGTCCCAAGGCAGGCTGTCACCCCTCCCACCGACACTGCTGTTAAGGTCTCGTGCCTTCTGCCTCCTGTTTAAAGGACTCTGCTTTCACCTTCACAGTCTCCTCTACACAGAACAATTCTGGCTCAACAGAAGGTAAAACCTTCAGCGGTGCTCCTTGGTGAGAAGAGAACTCCTTAAATGGCGATCAGGTCTTCTGTGATCAGGCTCGTCCAGGGCTCCAGCCTCACCGCTCCTTGTCTCCTCTGCCAACATTGCTCAGTCCAGGAACACCAAGCTTCTCAAGGGTCCCCACCACACTGCCCCATGCCTCCTGCCTTTGCTCTAGTTGTCCCTTCTGCTTGTCACACTGTCCCCGACCCCTTCACCTGCACCACTCCCAGCACGTGCACAAAGCTGCAGAAACCCTTATCAGGTCTGGTTCAAGTATGAAGGAAGTCAGCAGCTCTATGGGAGCCTGGAAAACCATCCCCGTGCTATGTCAGCTGTCTCAACACCCAAGCCCTGAGCGGCCTGCACCTGCTCTCCCTGCAGGCCAAGTCCTACCTTACTGACGATGAACAGGTCCTCCCGCCGAACCACGCCCTCCTGGATCTTGCTCTGGATCCCAGCTCCGATCTCACTCTCATTGCGGTACAGGTAGGCGCAGTCAAAGTGCCGATATCCCACATCGATTGCCACTTTCACTGCCTCTGTCACTTCCCCTGGAGCCGCCTGCAGAATGAACAAGATCCAAGGAGTTGCCCGGCTGACTACCTGCAGCAGTAATAAACTAGGTGCTTGTAAGCCACCCAGCTTTCCTGGTTGGTTGTTATGCAGCACTTCTTGGGCAATAGATTTCAATGGCAGATTTGTAATCTTACAAGATTAAAAATAAATAAAACGAAGACTTTGTATGGATCAGGGAAAGGTGATTAGGATTAATCCAATTCTATACCACCGAAGTCCAACAGTTTTCACAGCTTTTCCTTACCCTGGGTACGAGAACGTGTGGACTCCTACATCCGGCTGAGTGCAGAAGACATAGTGCATACAAGAATTAAAGTCAAGACAAGAAAGTCAAGACAGTTAAATCCATAGAGTGCTTATTGAACAGCGCCAAATGCATGGCCTTGGCTAGAAGCTGAGAACCACCAGTGAAACCACATCCTGGCCTCTAAGAGTTGTTAAGTGGATAGAAGAAATAATTTAAATAATATTTAGATGAGTGGTGGGTTGATCATTCTAATTCCTACTCTAATTTCCTAGGTGACTTCTTACAGGAATACACACACACACACACACACATACACACACATTTATATGTTAGTGCCAAGTCTCAAAGCACCGACAAGTCAGAAATCTAAAGTAGAGAAAGTTCCCAAGTTCAAAGTGCTTCCGCTATCAGGTTTTACACAGGGGACCTGAAGTTACAAAGTTCCTATTTAGTGTGTATATATATATATTCACACACACATACATATATGTGTATGTGTGTGTGAATATATATATATATTATCAAAGACTACATTTAAAAAAAAAAGAAAAATTGAAAGTTAGTGCCAAGTCTCAAAGCACCGACAGGTCAGAAATCCAAAGTAGAGAAAGTTCCCAAGTTCAAAGTGCTTCAGCTATCAGGTTTACACAGGGGACCTGAAGTTACAAAGTTCCTATTTAAAGCCAATTCCTTTATCTTATTGATACAGACAACTTTCCAGTAACAGTGGCCTCTGATCTAGTTAGGTGACTGCCACTCTTTCTGTCTGTACGCAAGCCCGACGATCTTTTCTTCTGGGCTTGCTTTCCCAAACATTATTTCTGAATAATTGTGATTTGGCTTCAATATGCAATATCAGAGACAACCCCCATTTCCAGATAATCTGCCATCTACAAATCCCATCTTTCAGACGCAGGAAGCCTCCCGGGGAGTTACAGGGACTAGCTGGCTGGGGGCTGCAGGTGTCCCCGCGGGTTTCTCCTCTCCGGGGCGTCCAGGGAGGTGGCCACCAGGTTGTCCCTGCGGGTGGCCCCTCCACAGCAGAGCGAACCGCGGTGAGGAAAGGCTCCGCCTCTCCAGGACCCCGAGGCCACCTCACCTTCCAGGTGCCCAGGCCCAGAACAGGAATCTTCTCCATCCTTCGGAGCGGCTTCTGTGGCGGCGGTGCTGCTCTGGAGGTGAGCCACCGCGGCGGACTCCAGATTGGCGGGTGGCTCCGAGGCGGCGGGTTAGTGGGCATCTCAGCTGGGGGGGCGGCGCCTGAGGCGGGGTCCGCGATTGGCCGGTGGCTCCGAGGTGTCCGGGTAGCAGACCGCGCCGTCCTGGCCAGTGGACACGCCCACATCTCGGGAGAAAGTTGGACGTTGGGAAGCGGGGTGCGCGCGCTACGCATTGAGGTCCTGGCAGGTCCCAGTCACGAAGGCGGGCGGATGCGCAGGGGTCCCCAGGGTCCCAGAGTCGGCAGAGTCCCCCCCCCTCCCCAGGGCAGCCCTGAGAGGACCCGGTCTAGGGCGCTCTGTGCACCGCTTTGGGCGCCTGGGACCAGGGTAGGTCGGGGCAAGGCACTGGGCCACTCCTCTGGGGACCAGGGGCAGGAGCACCCTTGCTGGAGCCTCAGGTCCTCAGGTGGAACTGGGCGGAGTCATTGCCCTGGCTGAGCAATGGAACTGGGCACCCCACGACCACAATAGACGGAATTCAGGGGCATGGAGTATTCCAGGTCTCGCTCATCTCCCCCGCCCCACTCTCCTTCCCTCCGCCCAGGGCCTGCGACCCCAGTGCCTGGATGACTCCAACCAATAGTGTGTTTTGTTGTTCCCGGCCTGCGGCTGCAGTGCTGGGGCTGACCACCAGGGGGCGGGCTGTGCCCACTGGGCTCAATGGAGTAACTGGGGCAGGGAAGGAGTCAGTCATTCTGGGCGTGGCCCTGCCTCTGACCCACCTGGTACCTTTAATTATTAGCCTCCATCTCCATGATGATGTGAGCTGCTCAGAGGCGGGAGAGGGCTGTGAGATCCTTTCATTGATTTATTCAGTTACTGTGAAGAAAAAAAAATTACTTTTTGTGGGAATATCAGAAAATTCTTTATATACTGCTTTCACGTCACAATATGGCCACAAGTATTTTTGCATTTGGTACCGTTTATATTGTTTGACTCGTCGTCCCTCTTTTGTCCTACTCCAGCGTGAAAATAAGTCGTCCCTGAACTGGATGAGACTTGCAGGGTGGGGACCATGCAGGCAGACACACTGCAGAAGCTGGTAAAGTACCCGATGTCTGCCCTCCAGAGCAGACTACTGTGTCCCGCCTCCCTGTCTATCTACTGAAACTTCTCCAGCACCCAACAGGTCACCCCTGCTGTGGAAAAGGTGGGTGCTTTTCCCCCACTACAGCACAGGGGTTACTCTGCCACCTCCCAGCTGGGTGTCTTGAGAATGTCATTTCACCTCTCTGAGCCTCAGTTTGCTTGTGTGAAAACTGGGGTGCTATGAGGACCAAACTCAGAGGGCTATTGTCAGGACTAAGTGGGATAAGCCATGGAGAGTGCTGACCCTGTGCCTGGCCCTGTGGAAAGGGCTGCTAAGGGCTCTGGTTTTATTTATGATTTTCTATTCCCCATGAAGCTCTCTGCCTCAAGCCTTACTTATTCTGTGGCCTGGGAAAAGCTGCTTCCCATTTGTAAACTCCTTTCTATCTGGGTGTCACATTCTATCTGGGCGGTCCCCTGTCCTGGGTGTAGCCAGAGCAAAGACTCTTAGAGGATTGCTGAGGGGCCTCATGTACAGTCAGATATCTGAGAAGGTTCATTCTATTAACAGTAGATCTATTAAGTGCCTACTGTGTGCAGGCCCCTTTCTAGACACTTGGCATAGCTCAATGAATGGAGCAGACTAAAATCCCTACCCTCCCTTGCTTCCATTCCAGTTGGGGAATCAGCCAGTGCCACTGGACATCACAGCAGGTAGAGGACACAGGATGTTCAATGTGACACCTTCCTAGGCCAGAGCCTGCTGAGCCGGAGCCCTAGGGTGGATGATTGTGAGCATAAGGGGAAGGGTTGGTGCTGGGGCTACTCAGGGAGAATAGCCAGCGGTTGGTGTAGGGACAGGAGCAGACTGGCCTCAGACCACCTATTAGGAGGATTCAGCCTGGGAAGATGTCCTTTTCTGAGAAATTCTGGGATATGTTCTGTCTTTGGAGAGGCATTCGAGTGACCTCTCCTCCTCTTGCAGCTCCAGCACCATCTCCAGAGTGGCTCTGGCTCCAGCATCAGTTCCTATAGCATCTCCAGAGCCAGATCCAGCTGTATAACTACGGGGCCCAAGCCCGCATAGAGCTGGAGGCACTACTGTCATTAGATTTGATGCCACCTCCAGCAGCAGGTCCAGAGCCAGAGCCAAGTGTACGCCCGATTCTAACAGCAATTCCAGAGCTAGAGGCCACTCCAGGAGAAGCTCAGAGGGGCCTTGTCTTCCCACGTGTGGAACAGGAGCTGCACCTGGAGCCTCCCTCCGCGCCAGCTCCTGAGCTACACCCAGCACCAGAGTTGGCCTCCTCTCCCCTCTGGTGGTAGCACTTTTTCAGTTTTCTTTTTATATTTAAATTAAAAAAAAACATTTGTTAAAATTTAAATTCAGTATGATGCAACCTTTAAATCATTTTAAACTGCAATTTAGAGGCATTAAGCATTTCCCTATGCTGTGCAGCCAGCCCCACCCTCTAATTGCAGACTGTTTTCATCTCCCCAAGAGGAAAGCCCACACCCAATGGTCACTGCCTTCCCTTAGCCCCCAGCAATAGCTAACCTGTTTTGTCTGTTTCTTTATCTACTCTGGATTATTCATATAAGTGGAATCATACTATGTGGCTTCTTATGTATGCCCACATATTTTAAGAAGGACTCATTTTTGCTTTTCTTAAAATTTAAAATAGCACTTTTTATTTAAAAGAGAAATCACAGATGAAAAAAAGATTATATGTGAAAACTGAAGCCCTTATAGTAGATATGTTCAGAATCTGGGGCGGGGTGGAAGTGGGACCGCTGTTCTAAGTGTCACCAGGAGCCAGGAGCCATAAAGAAACAGCTGGCTCTTTGGTGGCCATCTGAAACAAGGAAAACATACCCAGTGGAAAGACAAATGGAAACTAGAACAGCATTCCTCAGAACCCGAGGACAGAGAAAGGTTGAACACACTGATGGTACCAAAATCTCTGAAAAAACAGTTTTAAAGGGATCCAGAAATGAAACATGCTGTGCAAACGGGAAGCAGGGCACATGGCCTATATGCCAGAATGGCCACCTCCCTGCTGAGGGCACACACTGCTAGCATGTCACCATTGAAGTATGGTAGCAATCATCTCAGGTAGAAACTATAGTTTAACCCTGCTGTTTGGCTTCTGTACTTACTTGCTCTGTTTAACAATAGAAAAGTTATTTTGATTTTCTGAATTATATAAATAATCCCATTTGATTGAATACCCTATTGATTGTAATGTGAATATCCCATTGGCTGTGGTCATACTGTTTTTAGAAAGCACATTCCTCTGTACCTGGGGACCAGGACAGCACAATTATCCCAAGACCTGAGGGCTCCAGATAATGTGTTCCTGTCATCTCAGTGGTCCCGAGACCCGAGGACTCTAGATAATGCATTCTGGTTGACTCATTGGTCCCAAGACCAGGACAGCACAATTACTCTAAATTGCCTCGATGGCTCCAGATAATGTGTTCCTGTTAACTCAGTGGTCCCAAGACCCGATGGCTCCAGATAATGTTTTTCCGCTGATTCAGTGATCCGGAGACCCAAAACTATAATTAACATGCTTAAGTCTGCTTCTGTAAACTGCTTTTTTGCAAACTAGGTTCCTCATTCCAAACCCTGGGATGCCGAAATGTCCCCTCGTAGTCCCGGATTTGCAATAAATATGACTCCTTAATTCGACTTCTTGAGGCGTCTTTGTGTGATTTGCGGGCTACATTACAACACCATCACTAGCAGGGTTTATGTCGGGTGATAACCAACTTTGGGGACAATGTGAGGAAGCAGAGGCCCCACCAGATCCCCTGGAGAGAATTGTGAAAGGACACTCATCTCTGGGAGGGAGCATAAAGTTCCACAGGTACAAAGGTACAATCTTTACCTAGCAGTGCTGAGCCTAGGAATGTATCCAGAAGAAATGCCGACATAATTCTTCCAAGCTTATTTATAAGGCTACCCATTACAGTCCACACAGACTATTCATTGTGGGGCCATTGCCCTGGTCTTGGCCCCATCCATGCTCCTGTCCTTCTTGCCCCATAACCTAGCTTCTGAGCACAACAGTGGGTCTGCTATCCGGGACAGATGGGGGAAATGGCCTGGCTGCCTGCCCGCTCCCTCTTCCAGGCACAAACCCCTTCCTCTCAGACAGGAAAGCACATCAATAGGGATGACCTTGAACATGTCTAAGGGTTGGTGGTCTAGGGCAAGTCGCGATATCCCTCCAAGATGCTCCACCTGGCCCCTCCTCCCACCAGAAAAGGCACAACCCTAGTGGCCTCTCAATTTTGGAGGCAAGATATTTCTCATTTTGGTATGTGACTCTAGCCCAGTGGTCGGCAAACTGCGGCTTGGCAAACCATGGCTCGTGAGCCACATGCGGCTCTTTGGCCCCTTCAGCGTGGCTCTTCCACAAAATACCGACTTCTGCGCATGGGCCACAAAGTTTCAATCGCACTGTACGTGCGCACCCGCACGTGGTATTTTGTGGAAGAGCCACACTGAAGGGGCCAAAGAGCCGCATGTGGCTCGCAAGCCACAGTTTGCCGACCACGGCTCTAGCCCATTTACCCATTGAACTGAAAAGCTGCTAGTTTTGAGCTGGGCCCAGAACTATAAAAGGCTTTGCAATAGTTCTAGGCTGCCATGCAGGCTTTTCTGTCCTTGGGCCATGAGCAATTACTCTAAATTGCCTCGATGGCTCTAGATAATGTGTTCCTGTCATCTCAGTGGTCCCAAGACCTGAGGGCTCTAGATAATGCGTTCCGGCTGACTCATTGGTCCCAAGACCAGGACAGCACAATTACTCTAAATTGCCTCTATGGCTCTAGATAATGTGTTCCTGTTAACTCAGTGGTCCCAAGACCCGAGGGCTCCAGATAATGTGTTTCCACTGATTCAGTGATCCGGAGACCCAAAACTATAATTAACATGCTTAAGTCTGCTTCTGTAAACTGCTTTTTTGCAAACTAGGTTCCTCATTCCAAACCCTGGGATGTAATCGATACCTTTGTGATTTTTGCCTATATAAATCTGGTGGTGGGCCTGGGGAGGGCACTGCGAGATTTGGAGTCCCTCATAGCCCCGAATTGCAATAAATGTGACTCTTTAATTCAACTTCTTGAGGCGTTCTTCTGTGATTCGCGGGGCACATTACAACAGTTGCAGCTGTAACAAATGCCTAACCTTCTGATTTATGGACTGTCCTGATTACCATCCCACTTACCTCCAACTTTCCCTCAAACCCAACACCTCATTCTAGCAGAGGACTGGAAAGAAGATAATAAAAATAAAATATATCATTTAGGATTAGGTTCACCTGAGAATAACATGGACCACTTCTTTCTACCCACTGCATCCCCCGCAGCACACAAGTGCCTTAAAAATTAGAAGTGTCTGCCTCAGCCCCCACCACTGTGGCTTCGTCTGGAAGGATGTCCAGAATGACGTCCAGATGGTCGTTCAGCTGTTCAGTCTAATTAGCATATTACACTTTCATTGTTATAGATTACCCAGTTTCTCTGGCTAGAACTGTCAATACTATGCTAAGTAGAAATTGGGGGAGTGAGTATCCTTTCCTGTTCCTGACCTGACAGCAAAAGCTTTCAATTTTTCACCACTGAGTAAGCTATTAGATGTGGGCTTGTCATAAAAGGCCTTTATTATGTTGAGTAAGTTCCCTTTTATTCCTAGTTTATTGAATAGTTTTGTTTGTTTTTTTGTTAATCCTCACCTGATGATATTATTCCATTGATTTTTAGAGAGAGTGGAAGGGAGA